AGGCAATACATTATAATGGGAGTACATGAATGTGTTAAAGCATAACGCACAAATGCTGAGAGGTATGTAACACAACGATGATCAGTGTAAACCACTATCAAAAACACAATATCATACACAAATGTAAACAAACAGCAAATAGCCTCAGAGGATTTTTATTAAGTTACTTCTTCATTCCTATAACTTGCTACAGTCCCATTCATTGACAAAAACGTGGTAATGCATACGTACATGTATGTATAAGATGATGAATGTGTACCTACACTCAGGCAATTTTTACCCTCGGCGCACATGCGCAGCGAGGGTGCGGTAGTTGGGTCTGTGTGTCTGTCTGTCTGTCTGTCTGTCTGTTACTCAACATCTCACTTCTCCAATGTTCGTTCGTCTCCCAAACGATACGACTTAATTAACGGCCAATGGAGTCATGCTACTGAGTAACCAACACTGTTAGAGTCCTAATTGAGTTTAAGAGTGGACACCAGGTGACAATAATAGGGATTGTGTGATGGTATCGGGGTGTTAGTGTGGTCAAATCTGTTCGTTAACTATGCTTCATGTATCCATCCTTATCTGTCTTTTTATATGGTTACCTGCTATGGGAAAAGGGACTGAAAAATAGTTTTCCACGTGAGCATATAGGGCAGAGCCAGCTATACATCCTGATATAAAACCTTTTCAATACAAAATAATTTACACACTTCTAGAAGCGTCAACAAACTCACACAATTGTGAACTTTGACCCAGTAGGCTGGCGGCATTACGGTATTATCTCGTAAAAACCACCCACACATCCTCAGAAGTGATCAGGATGTGGCGGGCGGAGCTTTGATGTTGCCTTTCAGTACTATAAATGTAAAAAAAGGTCCGGATTGAGTGAGACATGTCATAAATGTCTCAGCAGGCTGAAACGCAGGCACAGAGGCTGTGCGTAGGTCTGCAAAATGGCAGAAAGAAAGATCACCACGGCGTGATAAAGGAGTGACACATGCGTGCTGGGAGTTGCTGGAAAAACGCCAATTGAGCGCAGAAGCCGAATTCGTGACTGAAAGAGATATAGAGTTTGATTTCACACATGCACCTTATAAGCATGACGATCTTTCCACGGTCATAACGTTTACCTCATATGGCGCAGAGAGTTAGTTTTTGGAGCAAAATGTAGCTAAACTATTGCATTTTCAGACCTTTGGTGTTTGAAGAAGAGCCCAAACTGAACCCAATTCAGTTTTCTTGGCCGTAGCTTGAAAAGTAATCGCATACGATGAATGGTCCTTGTCCCATAGCTGGTCACATTTCATCCCTACGTATATGCCTATTTTTAGGATTTTAATTCACTGCGTGTCCACTGCATGCAATATCTGGTATCCCCAACTTTCTGGGGATGAGCAGTTATAGATTGTTCTAGCTGCCATTTTTCCTCCCCATCAATAACGGCCTGGGAATGACTCTTGCTGCTTTATCCTAGGGTCAAGCGCCGTGTCATTCGGCAAATGTACACGAGTACCCTGAGTAAATTTCAAGGAAAGGGTGGAGGAAAACTATCCACAGGCACTGTTCAGGATACGGAAGATGAGACAAAGCCATTACTGTCTGGTTAGAAAATAAGTACCACGCAAGTGCGTTTAAGATCCATATTATTTGAAATGCATGCCCGACGTATTTTGTGCTATATACTCTAATTTTATGCTAAAAAATCAGGGCATATTTATAATGGGATGGAATCCCCCTTCCAGTCATTTCCTGTGTTGTTACAAAACTTGTAATGCATTCCGGTACCTGCACATTGCAGGATGATTTTAATTATAGTGAGAACCCAACAGCCATGCAGAACAGGAAGGTCTTCGGCTTTGGAAGTAGCAAAACAGGCTAGAGCCCGTGTGGCATTCAGAAGTGGGTGTGGCTGCAAAAATATATACTGAGGGTGTACTTTTAGTGATGATGCAAATTAAAAGTGTTACAATAAAAAGCAATAAAGTGCAAAACCTCGGTCGACCATGTTCCTGCAGTCCAGAAGCAAATAATAAGCACCACTGTCGGAATTTTGTAAAACGGATACTGTAGCTATAAGACATAAAGTGGTGTAAAAAATTCCCCAGCAACAATCTAACTTGCAGTACGCAATGATAGTGCACAGTCGTAGAGCGTTTGTACTGCTGGGCCGAAGTAGTAGATGGTGAGGTTCCAAGCTCTTTTTATCGACTGCATCTTTATGCACATAGTATCACAAAAATGCATGCACATGTCAGTCTTGAGAAATAAACAAAATGGTGGATCTGAGAGAAAAGTGTTACACCCAATACCGCTACTACTCTTCTTTTCGCATGTCATAGTGCAAGATTGAGAAATGTGGAAAGACGGAATTAAAAACCAAGTACCGTGACCCTCACTGTGCATGCGTGCTAAGGGTTAATTCATTGTATGTGCCATGTAAAAGATCTTTTTTCTTTTAGCTACCAAGCAGAAGCAGTTCTTAGGGGCGTGGCGTAACTACCGCAGTGGTGCAGCAGCTGAAAACAATGGTGATGACAGTGAAAATGGGAAAAAGGAAAATGGCACTGAAGACAAGGAAGCGGTGTGTATGGTGCTTTGGTTTTTAAGTATATACGTACATCTGTCCACTCCACAGAGTGCTGAACATCCAAAATGGATGATATTACTGAAGTCTGTTGCATACCTGACTGTTGGCGTGATCATGGTATGCCAATTTAACTTTATCAATGATATTCCTCATACCATAATTACATCTGTAAATAGTAATTCTATTTAACAATATTTACTAAATTTAGTGTTTGCAGAATTTAATTTTGCGGATTACATCAAGGATATTCCAGTCTAGCTGAGCTATGACTCTTTTCTCCCCACAGTGTTTCAGTGCTAAGCTACTGTTTGTATATATAATGAGAGGATGGTAGAATGATACTATGACAAGATAGGACGGGATATACTATGCGTGGTTTACAAACAGATTGTGAGCACACTGATACCCCCAGCCCAGCACACAATCCCTATAATTATTTTTGCATGGTGTGCCACTCCAATCACTAAATACGGTAGTACATACTTAGTATAGGGATAGCCATGGTACCTAGCATCATAGATGTATGGGGTATGATAGGAAATGTTTCATCATCTTCAGATTGAACACCCATAACTCAACATCTAATCATGAAAATGGAGATGTCCATGTGCATGGTCATACTTACTTGTCACTAGTATCGTTGTAGACTACAACAAATAGCCTCAGGAAACTACATTTTCATTTCTCAATGGTAGCATGAATAGAGATGAACCTTAGTATGCATGCGTATTACATGACAACTGCATTGTTTCAATGACGACTACATGTTTGTGAACAACAGCAAATAGCCTCAGGCACTTCTCTTGCTTCTTCGCTCCTCAAACTTGTGTTAACGGTAGGACACGTGAAGATGAAACTTGGTACCCATGTGTATTACCATTACGACCACATAATTGTTTTAACAGCAAATAGCCCTAGGCACTTTACTTACTTCTTCCCTCCTCAAATTTGTTAACGTTAGCACGCATGGAGATGAAACCTGGTATGCATGCATATTCAATCGTTTCAATGACAACCTATTGTTTGAACAACAAAAAATTGCCTCAGGCACTAAATGTTATAACAGTAGCATGCATGGAGAAGAAACTTGGTACGCAGTGCGTATTACATTGTTTCCATGACAACCACATATTTGTAAACTACAACGATTAGTCTCAGCATTTTTCAAAGCGTAACCAGCATTGTATTGTGAATGATCTGAGCATTGGAATGCTTAGCACGCCGGAATGAGCATCATTTATGCTGGGAATAGACTCAATTTTATTCCAGCGTCGTCAGCGTATATAGCATTCCACAAATCCAATCTCAGCTATCGCACTAGGGTATTCAGTTTGTAACTCAAATGGCAGCGGCTAGACGGCACGCATGTGTATTACGTCATTTCCATAACAACCTCATGTTTGTAAACTAGTATCAGGCAATTTTATCTGGTTTTTATAGGGGCTTGCCCTGAGATATGCGTAGTAGAATTAAAAACTGGGAGGAGACAGGTAAATGAAAAATTCTGCGAATTTAAAAGTCATGCTACTGAGTAACCAACACCGTCGAGTCCAAATTGAGTTAAGAGTGGCACACCAGGCAAGAATATAGGGATTGTGTGATGGTAGGTAGTACAATGGATGATGGCTACATAATTATTTTAAACTGACGTTGCTTCCTCACACACATTTTCCTCCACAAAAGCCCTATATTTTCACGAACCATGAGTGTGCTCGCTCATGGACTCATTTCCTAAGCACATGAGACAAGTAATAGACCCTCTCTTACAGCTCCTCGTGTTTGAGTTGCAACTGCATTGGGAACAGTCTAAAGCTGGGTTTACAATACATCGCAATGCCCTGTTGTGCCGTGCCACGTCAAGAGAGAATCCATGCGACGTGCAAAGCGGCAAGGCGCAGTGGAGCAATGTAAATATTGTTTTAGCCTAAGACTTCCATGTTGTCTCATGAACTAACCAGTTTACAATGCTGCCGTTCCCAGCTCTTTACAGAATCCCTTCACCATTGTCCTCACCATTAAAAAGAAATTTTTTTAAAACTCATGTTGGCAAAACTATAGGGCTTGTGTGGAAGAAAAAGTACATTAGTGAGCAATGTCAGTGAAGTAGCATTCATCAGCTGCATCACATACACACTAGGTCATCCCTGTATTTTTCCTTGCTTTTTATACCATCCCTATAGTCACCATTTTTAATATTTTACTTGTCTTCCTTTTTTACTGCTTGCTCATGGGAAGATTGGTCAGTAGGGGTTCTTGATAACCTTGTGAACTGATAAAATATTATAGCCCAACCCACATATTAGCCGTCAGGTAGAGCCGCAGTACTACAGGATTGGTATGTGCATTAACTTGAGTATTGTTCTGAGGATTTGGTCCTTTCTACAAATGCACATTCTTGTGCTTTGGTGATAGTGATGGAATATAACTTTCATGATTTTAGCCTCTTTGATGATAAGAGGCTAAAATGCGGTCCTGAAGAATCCATGCATACATCGTGTTGTCATCGTGTTGTTTATCAATGTATGATAAGTGCTCGAGAAACTTACATAAGTGGCAGCCATTTTTTGCAACAAATAATGCTGTTACATTCCTTCCCACTCTGTAAATTACTGTACCTGCGTAACCACATGGATATAAATTGTTTTTCAGGTTACAGTATTTTCTGACCCCATGGTCAGTGCTCTCACAGCTCTTACTGAGAAAAACAATGCAAATTACAATGGAAAAAGTGGTATATTCCGCAAAGGACAATACATTCCTATTGGAGGTTTGACAATTGAATCTTGTACTGATACACTTATAGCAATGCAGATTTTTAACCCTCGGCGCACATGCGCACGAGGGTTATAGTAGTTGGTCTGTGTGTTGGTCTGTGTGTTGGTCTGTGTGTTGGTCTGTCTGTCTGTGTGACTGTTACTAACAGGTTCAGCGCTACACTGGGTTGATTTTTAAAATGGTGATTTTCGTAAAAATACTGCGTTCAAAAGTTATGGCATGAAAACAAGTGAACAGGCCAATATGCTAATTAGCACAGACTTATGTTCTGTGTATCTTGAAGGCACAAGAAGTCACAAGGAAGGGGGTGTATTGACTTCCGCATGCTATCTGCTACTGTAGCTAGCCCGTGTCTGACTCTCCAGGAGCTAAAAGCGGAAGACCACGAGTAAACGCATACTACAAATAGCCAGCCCATCAATTAGTGGTACCACACATGCGCAGTTCGCCGAGGGTTTGCACTTTAGTGCTTTTCGTGTTACTGAGTATTGAGATAAATTTGACCAACGAAATATTCTTTGCCTACATGCAGTATTCTACATCTCTTTTGTAATCACTCCGCTGTGCTCTAATGCAAGTGAGCTGGTGTCATCACTAATGTTTGCTGCTAAGAAGACCAAAATCAACACTTCTTTAACATTCTCCCAGGTAATATTCTAGTGCTCACTAGCGTCCGCACATATCTTTCTCATTGGCAATTGGCAGCTAACTATTGGCACTTTGTTACACACGTCAATGTCAAAGGGATTTCAGTAAAAAAATCTTTGGCCAAGTGCATTTTGCATTTATATGGCCTTAGCCAGGTGTTTTACTTGGACTTATGACATCATTAGCCTCTAACATTATACTTTTAGCACTGGTTCTACTTCTCTAATACAGTTATACGGAGCAGTCACGATGAATAACACGCTAGGACTGGGAATATTTGCAGCTCTTGTGTACTTCCAAAACCTGGACTGGCAATATTCAGCTGGTATGTTTATTAGATTAAAGAACGATGCTTAATACTGATTTTCTTCAGAGGTGACAGTTATCCTATTTATGGAGTTCACAATTGGAATAGCTGTAATCATCGCTGGTTTCGGTTACAAGCACACATACATTGTATGTTTCTCTAGCTAACAATGACTTGCATTACATCTATTATTTTACCTGCAGTTACTGATGGGAGTATTCATTGGATTCCTGTACTTTTTCTCCATTTTTTTTATCTGGATGCTTGAGCACTTTGCACATTGGAAATAAGAGAAAGCTTGACTTTGATAGTACAGTTCTCTGTAGTGTAGTGTAGAATGCATATATTGTCCACTAGCTCCACATATTGCTGTGGGTGCATGGTGTACCTTATTGCCATGAAGAAGTAAGATATGTGATAAATGATGCACATGCATCCGCTGTGAGTATTCTGCGTCATAGCACAGTGGTTTGAGGTATCCATTTGTGTTGTATTGCATTGTAGATTTCGAACCCCTAGCAAATGAGTTGCCAGCTCAGTTAGTAGAGCACTCACGTAAACTGCATTGTGTCGTGGGTTCGAATCCCACCAAGAACAGCTCTTTTTTCCTTCAATTTTCTAAGAGCTGTACTGGGTGTTGTTGATTTCTTTTCCCTTTGACCTCGTTGACATGGATGTGCAGACTTTTGGAGCCAGGCCTTTTTAAGGAAGAGAAGGGTTGGCTCCTCATGTAACCAGTTCATTATTTACCTAATGTAAAATTTCCCCATATACATATTTCTCTGTGGTATCTATATAAATGCTTGTCCGTTCTGTGTTTTACATGTTTCTTGTGTTCTGTGTTTTTCCTATGTTCTCTCTATTTCCTGTATTTTCCTGTGTTTTTCTGTGTTTTACCGTGTTCTGTGTGTTTTGCTGCGTTACTTGTGTTTTCCCACGTTCTCTAAAGAATTCCCCCCCCCCTGTTCTCTGTGTTCGTAGTAGTTTTCCGTGTTTTCTGTCTATTCTTTCCTCTGTGTTTGCCTAGAGTTCTTTATATTTTCCTGTATTTGTTGATTGTGTTTGTTTCTTCCAGTGCTTCCTGTGTTTTGTAGTGCTCGATGTGTTTCTGTGCTACTGTCCGTTTTGCCTTTGGTAAGCACGAATAACACATGGAAACAACAGGAAATATAGAGAACATAAAATACACCAAAACACTGAAAAGACAGGAAAATACAGCGAACACGGGAAAACATACAGAACACGGTAAAACACAGAAAACACATGAGCACACAGAAAACATACACAACACAAGAAACATACAAAACAGAAATGCACATTAAGATACTGGTTACATGAGATACCAACCAAGAGAAAGGGCATGCTGAAGAACCTGCTATTATGTAATTAGAACACACTATACAGTGCATTATGCAGTTCTAGTGTTTAGTGAGGGAGAATGATGTGATAACAATCGAGGTTACATAAATGCACTCCTGGCTCATGCATTATGTAACCTCGGTCATTATCACATGGTTCTAAAGCAGAGAAGGTTGGAATTTATGAACAGCTCTGCAATGTTTGCTGAGTCAGCAGCTTGTCTTCAAATTAGCAGAAACAAAAGCTCTCAAGGAAACAAAGCTAGGGCGGTTAAAACTGCAGCACGTGCCCGAATGGAAGGAGAAGAGGCATTCTATGATACTCCTACTAACATTGGGCACTGAGAACTCTACACATGGTTCTTCCCCGGATTTTCATAACGGCTCCTCAATTATACTAGCAAAATCAATGGAATCCACCAGAACTCATTTTTTATGGTGCTATAACTGATGTAGATTATCCGACGAATAGCCTTCTTTGGATGGATATTATCCTTTCTCAACAACACGCAGTACATGTTTTCACCTCCTACTTGTGTATACACAGCAGGCTAGCAAACACAAGATGTAGGGGATGCAGATGAAGGCATAAGACACATGAGAATGCAAGATGTAGGAAGCCTGACAGCATACAAGCAAGCACTTACGCTTGTACGTGCTACATATCAAAATGATTTTGTAAAACTGACACAACTGGGCTCTATTCTCGTGCCCAGACCTTCATGTGCTCCTGGAAAGAGGGCCTTGGTAGCTAAGGAAGTGCTGAGTTAGCATGTTTGGAAATTGTCATTCCCTTGGGTGCACAAGCAGGTGTGTAGAAAAGATAGCATGCAAACATGATTATAATCAATGTTGTTATGCACAACAAAGAAACTATTTTTACTACCACACCCCTTTTCCTTTGCAGAGGGGTAGAAGGGGACCAGGACTAGAATGGCTGCTAAATCAAGATATTTCAGAAAATCACTATTATGTTATACTATCTATCCACTATCTATGCTTTCACATATTATTCTACTGGGCTCGTTTTTCCGGTACACTTAGCAAGATCATGAAATTAAGCGCATGCTGAGGAGTTACTAAACAAACATTGAAGTGAACTTATTCTGCTCTGAAAACATATTCAGTTTCAGTTCTTAACTTCCAGTTTAGAAAAATAATCAAGGTTAAGTGGACCTTTCTGATCAGTGCTAGAAGAGCAACAAAAGGTAGTAAACCTGTAAAAGTGGTCAGATAGCCATGCCACTGGTCTGGAAACTCGTGAAAAATTTGTTGACATCATTAAGATCTACATGCATCATAGCAAAGTTTTTGCTTCAGTATAATATACATGTACAAGCTAGCGTGTAAAGAAAGAGCAGAAAGACAAACACTGTCCATCTCCCGTTCGTTTACAGGTGCAGTATACGGAAATGCAAAAGTCCAGCTTAATAGCAGGTGCACAGTTTATAGCTTTTGCTTCTAGTGTCTTACATTTTCAGGCGAATGTTGCTACAGGCTTTAAGACTGGCTGTGCACTCCTCCCTGTGATCATCGCATTTGTCTAAAATGATCCCTAGCGTAGAATTGCTGTTTTCAGCATTCTGAGCTTTGTGTGGTATTCAACTGTTTCTCGAAAACTACGGGGATAAATCTTGCACAGTAGTAGAAAAAATTGTTGTACTCGTAAAATACGCAACAAAACTTTCCCCCGACTTATTAAGTCTTTGTGTTATATGGTAACATACCTGTTGCACATTTGCATTAAGTCATAGCTAACAAAACAGTGGTTTAACCCTCAGCGTGCATGCGCAGCGAGGGTTACAGTAGTTGGTTTGTCTGTCTGTCTCTGGGTGTGTGTCGGCGCTTATTCTGGCGAGGCGGCCCATTAGCGATACCAGCAGCTTCAGAACTACGCGAGCCTGAAAAGTAAAAGGGCGATTTTCCTGTAACAACTGCGTTCGAGAGATATGCCGTGAAAACAAGCGAAAAAGCCAATATGCATCATCGCACTGGGCTTACCGCGACCTGATCCGCTCGCTCTGTGTACCTTGGGGGCTCAGGAAGTAACAACGAATGGCATGTATCCAACCCCGCATGCTATCTACTACTGTAGCTAGCCAGTGTCAGATTCTCCACGAGCTACTAGCGGGAGACCACGAGTAAACACATACAAATAGATAGCCCAGCCCATCAATTAGCAGTATCGCGCATGCTCAGTTCGCCGAGGGTTTGCACTTTCATTATCAAGGTATAGGTAACACTAATGGCATTGGTATGAACGCATTGGTTTCAGTATGTAGGACGGCTGAGTAATGGACCAACGTGTTAAAAGCCAATACGCTAATTAGAACATGCATACCCCAAGCGGTCAGCTGGCTCTGTGTGTCTTGAAGGAACAAGAAGTCACAACAAAGGGTCTGCATCAACTCCAGCATGCTATCTACTGCTGTAGCAGCCCGTGTCAGACTCTCCGCGAGCTACAAGCGGGAGACTGCGAGTAAACGCATACTAATAGCCCAGCCCATCAATTAGTGGTACCGCGCAAGCGCAGTTTGCCAAGTGTTTGCACTTCAGTGCTTCTTATTATCTCTCTTTCCTCAGTTCAATCTTCAAGGCAACAATTTCTACCTCTATCTTGAAAACAAGATGAGAGTGCCCATAATATTTTGTTACTTATGTCCTATGCAACACAATATTACGTATAATTATGAGGTCTAGTGTCTGATAGCAATGGAGTAAGTCTACTTTTTCTTCCCTGCAGAAACCTTCTCTTTCTTGGTTCCACGGACTTTCTTCTGGCGGTTTTTTCTTTCCTTTCGTTGTTTTCTTGCTGCCTTTTTCTTCTCTATGAGTCCCATCTGTTGAGAAAATATAATATAGTAAGGGGAAAAGTGAATGCAAGAATTTTTTTGTAGGAAGGGCATTAAACTATTTTTTCTGGTGTTCCACCAATCAAGGACATGGAGAGTACTAATCCAACTAGGTACATACTCTCGTACTGTGTTTTTTCACAGGACTAGTTACCGACCAATACATTATTAGACGTCGGCAGATTCAAATTGACGCGTAAAATGTGGATTCTAAATCCCGTATTTTCCCAAGTGCGTGTTTCCACGAAGACGCCTGCCAAAAAATGGCGTCTTCGATGGGGGTGTGGAAAGCTTCCGCGCAAATAAACTCGCTCTGTCGCTGCGAGCTCGCCGCGACGACTTCAAACTCGCTATATCCGATGCTTCTTCGATGAAAGGCCTCTCTACGATGCAAAAACAAACTAAAACGATAACCTTTTTAGCTCCCCCCAGCGAGAGCGAGTCTCGCGGAAGACGACGGACCTGGACGACTTTGACGTCCAGCACGGCCAATGTCTAAACAGGTTATACCGCTTGTCAATGGAAATACACGATTCGGAGCCCTTAGTAGCGTCTTCGCTGTATTCAGACAGCTACAGCTCGGGGCCCTTCATGCCGTCTAAATCGCGTATTTCCATTGACAAGCAGTATAATCTATATTTAGCGTATCTGCAGCCGTGTTTGTTTGCAGTGGACACAACGGTGTGGGTCAACCAGTTTACAACTGGACAGTCAGTTGTACGAGAGCTCCGCTGTCTAAGAAAATAGCTAAAACTTTAATTTATAGAAAATTTCACACTATACTGCAGATCGTTTAAACTCAACTTCACATGCATACAAATCTTTGTGACCTAATGTCCCTTTTAACCATGTGCACATTGTAAATACTACAAGAAAATCCTGCGAATTTAAAAAAAGAGGCATATAGGGATGGTATAAAAAGAAAGGGAGACAAGATAGGGATGGGATACATGAAGTATGGTTAATGAACAGATTTGGGTATGCTGCACACCACCAACCCCATCACACAATCTCTATATTGTTGTCTGGTGTGCTACTCTTATAGGGGCTAAAGGTTACTAAAAGCAAGCATTCTTTCACCATGTCCCAGTTGTTTTTAGTAACATTTATACTGCTACATTCCCTTTAATTAAACTCCACTTGGACTCTATAAGGGTGTTGGTTACTCAGTACTGTATTGAAGTTCTGAGTATAGTAATGGTGAACGTTTAATACTTCACCTAGGAAACAATATAGGGATTGTGTGATGGGGTTGGGGGTGTCAGCATACTCAAATCTGTTCATTAACCATGCTCCATGTATCCCATCCCTATCTTGTCTCCCTTTCTTTTCATACCATCCCTATATGCCTATTTTTTAAATTCGCAGGATTTTTAACTTACTTGTCTCCACTCATTTTTATATACTAGTACGTATTATCTCTGAGGAAGGGGGCAAGCCCCTATAAACAAATTAGTAATAGAGAAAAATGCCTGTTGTCGTTATGGAAATGATATGCATACCACGTTTCATCTCCATGTGTGCTGCAGTTAGTTTGAGGAGTGAAGAAGTAATTTTAAAGAAAGGTGCCTGAGGCTAATTGTTGTGGTCGTCATGGAAACGATGTTACACACATGCGTACCAAGTTTCATCTCCGTGCGTGGTACCGTTAGCGAGTTTCAGGAGTGAAGAAGTAATTTTAAAGAAAAGTGCCTGAGGCTATTTGTTCCTGTGGTCGTCATGGAAATGATGTAATACACAAACGCACCAAGTTTCACCTCCATGCATGCTACAGTTAGCAAGTTTGAGGAGTGAAGAAGTCATTTTTAAAGAAAGTGTCAGAAGCTATTTGTTGTTGTGGTCATCATGGAAACGATGTAATACACATGCGCACCAAGTTTCAGCTCCATGCGTGCTATAGTTAGCAAGTTTGAGGAGTGAAGAAGTAATTTTAAAAAGTGCCTGAGGCTATATGTTGTTGTAGTTGTCATGGAAACGATGTTACACACATGCGTACCAAGTTTCATCTCCATGCATGGTATATACCGTTAGCGAGTTCGAGGAGTGAAGAAGTAATTTTAAAGAAAAGTGCCTGAGGCTATTTGTTGTTGTGGTCGATGTAATACACATCCGCACCAAGTTTCACCTCCATCTATGTTAAAATTAGCCAGTTTGAGGAGTAATTCTAAAGAAAAGTGCCTGAGGCCTTTTCAAACAATATGTGGTTGTCATGGAAACATGTAATTATCATGGAAATGGTATAATAGGCATACATACCAAGTTTCATCTCTATGCGTGCTACCATTGGAGAGTTAGAGGAGTGAAGACGTAAATTTAAAGAAAAGTGCCTGAGGCTATTTGTTGTTGTTTACAAACATGTATTGTTGTGATTTTAATGTTGATGATTGAGGGCATCATGTCTACAAAGTTTCGTTCACATAGCTCCTACCATTTGTGAGTTATACTGACACATGTGATCCCAATATAATGTATTGACTGGGGCTATTTGTTGTTGTTTACAGTAAACAATGTGAAATAAGTATGACCAGTCTCTTCGTGTGATCATTGTTACAAAATTTCATTACTATATGTTATTTCGTTTTTGAGTTACGCGAGTTCAATCTGAAGAAGAGAAGAAGGAGAAGAAGAAGATGAACAAAATTCCCTATCATAGCCCCATACATCTATGATGCTAGACAATGCCCATCCCTATATACTAAGTATAGGTTAGACGCGGAGCCGCGGGAACTATGCGATTTAGTGAGCCGAGGAGCCCTGAGCTGTCGGCGTCTCGAGCGCAGCGAGGGCGCTACTAAGGGCCCCGAGGCTCACTAAATCGCATAATTTCCCAAGGCGACGCGTCTAACCGGCTTAGACTACAGCGCAAGTCCATCCCGCTGCAGTGTCCGTTGTAGGCATTGCTGCCCTTCCGGATCGCGCCGCCTGGTCGTTTGCACGCGTTTTTCCCTGCACGCTTTCTCTAGCTCTCTAGTAGTCATGAGCTGATGCTAGAAGAGCCTGTTCCTGGTTTCTTAGTGGGAAGAACAGTTCCAGAGGCTCGGTTCGCCGTCCGCATGCGTGGCGGCGTCTTTTCGAATTGAAGGCGTGGTTGCTGGGGCTACGAATAGTTACTGCGGAAGAGGTAACTAACAAAATTAGTTACCGCTAAACTCGCAGTCAATTGCGTGTTACCGTAGTCTAAGTACTACCGTACTTAGTGATTTCTCCAACGCTGGCCTTGGCATAACCCTGATCTACGAGACTACTACGGCAAGCAACCTCCTGCCTCCATTTTTGTGGTGTAAACCACGATGCAAGAAAGAGCTCCTGCTTACAGAGAACAGGTAACATGTCTAGAATGCAGTATGCTACAGTGTTGAATACAAAGACGAACTAAGTTAAACGGCAAGGAAGGTAAGCCTACTTAGTCGTTTCAATGCGAGAATGTATTATGTCATGGCTCTGCACATACCATAATAATAGCACAAAACACATGTGAAATATAGAACAGCTCACGCAAACTCGCCTAGTGCATGCTCAAACATGCACTAGTTTAGGGACAGATAGAGATAAGTGGATAAGCAGGGCAGATTCTGCGCAAACTACATTCAAGATCAAGCTAAGTCCAACCAGCATGTGCATGCTATGAACATCATGTGCAATGTAAAATTAGTTATCATATAATTATTACTATAATTACAGCAGATCAACAGCAGAGAATGGCACAACAAAATAATTGTGCTCAGAGAAACTGTCGAGTTCAGAGAAATGTGCTCAGAAAATGCGGCACTGGTGGCTGCCCTGTTATCAGGCTGGGTAGGAGACTCAACCTTGATGCACCTGCGTGCAGGAGCTGCTCGCCCATTGGTGCCCCATGACTTGGAGAGCAATGTTCATCAATACATTGCACAGACCCTAGCCCCAGTTACCCTCAAGGTATATCAATCAAGGCAGAGATGGTTCCTATACATTTTTACACCGATGCAGGGCTCCAGCCTTTCCCACTCACAGATAAACTTCTGTGCCTGTTTGATGCCCACCTTGCCTGGCCCACTAACGGTGAAGTCTTACCTCTCCACTATCCATCACTCTCACATAATTGCAGGCCATGGTGATCCATTCACCCCAGGCTCCTTTCCACGCCTCCAATATGTAGTTCTTCGAGGCATCAAACATGCCTCAAGACAACCCTCTCGCCCCCGAATGCCAAGCTGCTCAGGACCCATGGGCAACAAGTGCAGCTAAAGCCATGCTCAGGGCTGCCTGCTGCATGATTGTTTGGATTCATGAGGGTGGGCGAGTTCACACTCACAGCAGCAACAGACTACGACTTAGCCCTCCTCTGGATGTATCTGTTGACAGCCATAGTAATCTCTCCTTGGTCATGGTCCACCTAAAGACAGCCCCCTTCAAACAGGGAGTCGACATCTTTCTGGGCTGTACTGATACCAAGCTCTGACCAGTGGCAGCAGTCTTGGAATACAATGCATTTCGACCAGCACCTGTACCAACCCATTCTTCCTGTACCAAGATGGGTCAGCCCTCATCCAGGCAGTGGTTAACACATCTGGTTATTCGAGTCAAAGTAGGGGCTGCCACAACGGCTGCATGGGCAGATGTCACAATCAAGACGCTCAGACGCTGGGAGTCAGTGGCATACCAGTGCCCTATCTGTACACCTAGATAGAGTCTGCCGGCAATCTCAAGACAGCTAGCAAGTTGACTATTGTTAGTTGTGTAATGTGCCCCCGGAGGGAGGTGTGGCGATGCTCCCGACCACTCCCACCGATGGGTTAGACTTCGGCGACATTGGCTCCTGACCTCGCAGTCTCCGAGATTGGGGCGCAGTGGTAGCCATGCGCAATAGCGCAGTCCACCAGTCGGTTTGTTTAACAATACTTCCCTAGTACTTTCGGTGATGGGTGACATTCAGGGGATAAAAATTCCTACATGTCATGTTCCATGTAAATGTGCCTGAACATGGAAAAGGATAGTAGGAATTTTTGGCT